TTCTACAAGTGAACAGAAGTCGAAACCAGGTAATGTTGAAAATTTATTAGTCGTTAATTCAATCTTGCGCAAGAATGTCTCGTATTAAGCATTGATTGTCTTAATCCTCTGCAGCTTTGTCTAAAAACGAAATGCTACGACTGGAAAGAAAGAGGAAACAAATGGAAAAACAAATGGAATTTAAAAAGCGTATGATGGAAAAAGGGGAGTTGATGTCTACCAGTGATAGCAAGCCTAATCCTAGGTATTAAGATATTGAAGATTATAAGTGTAATATATTATGTGTAGAAATATCATCATGATTTTTTTTTTATAAGCGTATGTGCACATTTATTTCATTATATCAAACTAAATATTGTTACAACTAAATATTACAATATATAAATAAAAACATACAAATATGTCTAATCTTATTAATTAGTATCGCTGACATCGCTGTAGTATATGGTGTAGATTGCATTGCACGTGTATCACTTGAAAGAGAGGTTAGAAATCTCATGTATGTACAGCATAAACACAAATATTTCAGATCAATTATATATCCAAAATATACTTTTAAATAAATTTCTCGTATGTTTATTTTTGTATTTGTTTGTTGAGTATAAAGTAACGATACAAATTTCCTAAAAATTACTTCAAATACGAACTATTAATCGACATTCAGTGAGATAAACGGAAAGATTGGATTATACACGTGTTATCCACGTGGTGCCTAGCTGATCAAAGACGTCAAAGAGAGAGATCGAAATATACCCAATTCATATATTTTTCAGTGAAAATTGCCTTGAAAAAAAATAGATTCCAAAAAGTAGGAAACGATTCATTAAAAGTAACAAGAAATATAGATTGTTTTACTTTACATAAGTATTTACATTTTTAGTCACACTTTCTGCATGTGAACAATGGATCAATACTTCAAAAGCTATGAAGAACTCGACGTAAGTGAAATATATATGTATATTATAATTTTCATTATATATTGTACATTTTATTAAATTAAATTTTATTTTTAGATCCACCAATTAATGCTAAGCGATAAAACACGTGTCTTAGCATACAAAACTGCTATTTTTAATTCGAGAGAGAAGTTTCAGGGCAAAATAGTAATGGACGTTGGTGCTGGCTCAGGTATAACAATTAGCTTTATTTAAAAATTTTCAACATATTCAAGAGACACGTGTGTATACATATAATACGTATTAAAATATAATATTACATATTTTGATCATATTTCTCTTTTGTAGGAATATTATCAATTTTTTGTGCCCAGGTTGGTGCAAAAAAAGTTTACGCGGTGGAAGCAAGTATGTTAGCGAAGAGTATCGAACAAGTGTCAATTGAAAATAACATGCAGGACAAAGTTGAAGCAATTCACAGTAAAGTGGAGGACATTCGTCCAGACAGTTTGGAGAAGGTGGATGTAATTGTTTCAGAATGGATGGGTTTTCATTTGGTACACGAAGGAATGTTAGATTCGGTGCTTTTTGCTAGGGATAATTTCTTACACGAGGACGGTTTGTTGTTCCCATCCGTTGCAAAATTATACGCCTCGCCGTGCCAATTACCCTCCATGTATGAGTTTTGGAATAACGTGTGCGGAGTCAGTATGAGGTAATTAGATATATTATTTTAAAGAACAAAAGTAGGATACTGCTACTTAAAGAATTATGTTAAAGCATTTACTTTCATTGTTAGTTCTCTTTTAATTATCGCAAATATGATATTTATATTCTACAGTGTGTTCAATTTTTATTTAGTTGCATTGGAAAAGAGTACAGAAAAATGAAATCCTTGAAGCCGGAAATCCTGCTTCTAAATCAAGATGATCTTTTGGCGGAAGGCAAATTGCTCGCTTGGCTAGATTTGAAGTGCGTCTCCGTGGAAGAGATAGATCTGCTGGGTGGAGAGGATTATGTGTCGGTGTGCGAAAAGGATGGGAGATTCCAAGGGATGTGCATCTGGTTTGCGGTCGAATTTCCAGACGGGTCGGAACTGTCCACGGGACCTCGCGACGAGGCGACGCATTGGAAGCATACCGCGGTTGTTCTGCCCGAGGACATGGAAGTGACGAGGAACGAACCTATCGCCTTCAAATTGGAATTCAAAAGAAACGAATCGCATCCAAGGCGTTACAATATGGAACTGAGTTTGTTGGATGTAGAGGAAGTGGAGCACGATGTTCCATGCAATTGTCACATGACGAAATGTATAGTGACGAAAAAGTACATCGATGACTTGGACGAGCGTGAATCATGCGCGGCAGAAAATAATGACTTGTAGATGTACCTGAAATTATATTTTTATTAAAATATAATCTAAGTGAAAAATTTATTTGTAACTCTCGTCTGTTTTTCATGCATATCTGTAAAATGGCAAAAATGGAATTATTGTAGTTTTAGAATTTACTAATCGCATGTTGTATGCATAGATATAGTATATACAGGGTCTCCCATTTTAAACAATGCATTTTAACATCTTTTCTATAAATATTAACCAACATTAATTACGCAGTTTAACTAATTTTCTGTTTTTAGTAGAAAACTGTAGGAAGAAGGCCATCAGTTTTACTTATCATATTTTTTAGCTTTATTTTGTGTGAATTATTTTTCATTTATGTACAAGATTCTATTATTACTGTATCAATAACAGATTTTGTGAACCGTGAACCCCGAAGCGTGCACGTCACAGGGCCGAGATGCAATAATATATTTTTAAAATATAAGTATATAATGATCATTTATATTCCTTTTCTTAATTTTACGCCTCAGTGGTAAGCACGCGCATGCGTCGCTTCACCGCGGAACACGGAACAGTGGGGTAAGGAGACTAAGGAGAGGAGACTGCTCGTCTCGTCATATCGGGCATCGTCGGGGTAGGGCGAATTGTTTGCTCGCTAGTGTATCTGATCGACATCGACGGGGACGAAGTGACCGTCTCCACGGCATTCGTGCGTGCCACGCATCGGTCATTCGAGTGCAACAACTGTCCAAGATGAAGATGGCGGACGGACCCACGATCCTACGGAGAAACAGGCCCGGGACGAAAGCAGAGGTTATTAACGCCGTTAATTTAGTTAAGGAAGCGTTGCACCCGCGCCCCGAGCGGGACAGGAACCGCCCGATAGTGCCCCCGGAGATTTCCCGTTACTTCCTCCTCCGTTTGACACTTTTCCGACGAAAATCAATGAATCCGGGACAAACGGGGATACTGTTTACAGTGTTACACTTCAAGAATGTTTCCCTGAATTCCTATCATCGTCCGGTTTCACAACGTTTTGCGGTTCCCTCACCTTCACCGAAGCGTGGAATATTTGACAGATGACTTATTTATATCCTCATCTAAAATACCGCGTGCTTATGTACACAGTAAATTATCTCTCAGTGGTTTTTATTGATTATTCAACATTGTGATAAAATACGCAGAGAAAACCTGCGTTTTATACGTTATATTGGATCTATTTTTATATTATGATGAGCTATATAGTAGGAAGAGATCGATTGTTTACAAGGATGCTGACGTAGATTTAACTATTTTTATAAAGCCCACGATCAAGGTTTTATTTCTCGCTCTATAGGATTTTAGCAGATGGCCGGATGAGCCGTTCGAAGAGATGGATAGCACACTGGCAGTGCAGCAGTATATTCAACAAATGATCAGAAGAGATCCGTCTAATATTGATTTGATACTCAACATGCCGGAGGCCAATGACGAAGGAGTGTGGAAGTACGAACATCTCAGGCAGTTCTGTATGGAGCTCAATGGTCTGGCAGTTAGATTGCAAGACGAATGTCATCCGGAGACTTGCACGCAGATGACAGCCACGGAGCAGTGGATATTTTTATGCGCGGCGCATAAAACTCCCAAAGAATGTCCTGCGATCGATTACACTCGACACACGCTGGACGGAGCGGCGTGTCTACTCAACAGCAACAAATATTTTCCCAGCAGGTAGCCCTTTCACGTCTCGTTTGTAATTTGTCATATTTGTGTCGTAGTGCGTGTGGCTAAATCTTCCTGTGGTAAAATTGCATTTCAGAATCAGCATCAAAGAATCTTCTGTAGCGAAACTCGGCTCCGTCTGCCGTAGGGTTTACAGAATCTTCTCTCACGCATACTTTCATCATAGGACAATATTCGATGAATTTGAAAACGAGACTTTCCTTTGCCGCAGGTAATGAATGCGATCGGCATATATATGGGTACTTTTGACGTTTATTGTATTACAAAAGGAACTATATCGATTTCTATTGTTACAGGTTTACGGCGTTTGTGACAAAATATAATCTGATGTCAAAGGACAACTTGATAGTACCTATTATGGAAGGTGAAGGCGCAACGGAAAGCGAAGCATAGGATCTAACATTGCGATCGTATTGTCCAAAGTCGAATTGTCAGATTTAGTAAGAAAAAAAAAAAATTATTCACGCATTAGTCTGATATTTCGTGATTGACATAATAAAGATCTTTGAAGGGAGTCAGTAAATTCGCTCTTATTTAAATGTAAATGTGTTACAGTGTTTGTCTTTAATATATAAAAGATATGACAATATGTTCCAAAAAACGTTGCATTTAAAAATACGCATCACAGAGTTTACGTTACTTTTTCCAAATCGTGTTCTAATATCGAGTAATTACATGGGATAAGTTAATATCGAAAATTTAATTAACTTTTGAATTTAAATGTATGGATTTCCAAGATACTTGGTTCATTAGCTTTTACTGAATTATATTTTCTTGATAACTGACAAATTTCAAAGATCTCGATTCGATAAAGACATATTCTTATCTTTGCTCGGTACCTTATTAAACAGAATTTTTCCTCGATGAATGTTTCATTAATAGTTGTGCAATTATTGCTGTAATTTTCGTATTTGATGAGCACAACTCTTGTATTTATTCATTCTTTTAATGTTTAAGATCTGTGCAACCTTTTAAACCAATGCTCGGAATTAGATGCCCTTTTCGAGCCGATTCTTGGGGCAACGCCTTCTATCCCCTCCCCCTCCCCCCCCACTGCTGTTCGATGCTCGGCGGTCAAGCTGCCGATCGCGCACGTGACGCCGTGCCCTCAAGTCGTGCCAGAACTTCCTATATGAGACAGGGTTCTTCTGCGAAACTGTCATTAAAACGTTTTCTTTGCCACATAATTTTTATTTATAAAAAAACTTGCAAATTATAAAATTAAATATAATAATAAGAATAGTAATAAATTTTTGATAATTGTTTTTCTATTAGAATATTATTGTATTATATTTGTAATCAATAATGTAATCAAATAAATGTA